ACTCAACCACAAGAGGAAAGTTGGAAAGTACTCAAATACATGGAGCCTAAAGAGCATCCTACTAAAGAATGAATGGGTCAACCAGGAAATTAAAGAAGAATTTAAAAAATTCATGGAAGCAAATGAAAATGAAAACACAACTGTTCAAAACCTTTGGGATGCAGCAAAGGTGGTCCTAAGAGGAAAGTATATAGCAATACAAGACTTTCTCAAGAAAAAAGAAAGGTCTCAAATGTACAACCTAACTCTACACCTAAAGAAGTTGGGAGAAAGAAGAGCAAACAAACCCTAAACCCAGCAGAAGAGAAATAATAAAAATTAGAGCAGAAATCAATGAAATAGAAACCAAAAGAACAGCAGAACAGCTCAATGAAACTAGGAGCTGGTTCTTTGAAAGAATAAGACTGATAAACCCTTGGCCAGACTTATCAAAAAGAAAAGAGAAAGGACCCAAATTAATAAGATCACAAAAGAAAGAGGAAAGATCACAACCAACACCAAAGAAACATAAACAATTATAGGAACATATTATGACCAACTATACACCAGCAAATCAGACAATCTGGAAGAAATGGATACATTCCTAGAGACATATAAACTACCACAACTGAACCAGAAGAAATAGAAAACCTGAATGGACCCATAACCAGTAAGGAAATAGAAGCAGTAATAAAAAAATCTCCCGGGGCACCTGGGTGGCTCAGTGGGTTAAAGCCTCTGCCTTCGGCTCAGGTCATGATCCCGGGGTCCTGGGATCGAGCCCCGCATCATGACTCTCTGCTCAGCGGGGAGACTGCTTCCTCCTCTCTCTCTACCTGCCTCTCTGCCTACTTGTGATTTCTGTCTGTCAAATAAATAAATAAATAATCTTAAAAACAAAAAAAAATCTCCCACAAACAAGAGTACAGGACCAGATGGCTTTTCAGGGGATTCTACCAAACATTTAACAGAATTAATACCTATTTTCCTGAAGCTCTTCCAAAAAATAGAAGTGGAAAGAAAACTTCCAAACTCATTTTATGAGGCCAGCATTACCCTGATCCTAAAACCAGAAGAAGACCCTATCAAAAAGGAGAATTATCCCCAAAAAGGAGAATAATATCAGATGATATCTGATATGATAATATCAGACCAATATCCCTGATGAACATGGATGCAAAAACTATCACCAAAATACTAGTCAATAGGATCCAACAGTACATTAAAAGGATGATTCACCACGACCAAGTGGGATTTACTCCTGGGCTGCAAGTTTGGTCCAACATCCGCAAATCAATCAATGTGATACAATACATTAATAAAAGAAAGAACAAGAACCATAGGATACTCTCAATAGATGCCGATAAAGCATTTGACAAAGTACAGCATCCCTTCTTGATCAAAACTCTTCACAGTGTAGGGTTAGAGGGTACATACCTCAATATCATAAAAGCCATCTATGAAAAACCCACAGCGAATATCATTCTCAATGGGGAAAAACGGAGAGCTTTTCCGCTAAGGTCAGGAACATGGCAGGGATGTCCATGATCACCACTACTATTCAACATAGTACTAGAAGTCCTAGCCTCAGCAATCACACAACAAAAAGAAATAAAAGGCATCTGAATTGGCCAAGAAGTCAAACTCTCACTCTTTGCAGATGATATGACACTGTATGTGGAAAACCCGAAAGACTCCACCCCAAAACTGCTAGAACTCATACTGCAATTCAGTAAAGTGTCAAGATATAAAATCAATGCACAGATATCAGTTGTATTCTATACACCACTAACAAGACAAAAGAAAGAGAAATTAAGGAGTCGATCCCATTGACAACTGCACCCAACACCATAAGATACCTAGGAATAAATCTAACCAAAGAGGCAAAGAGTTTGTACTCAGAAAACTATAGAATACTTATGAAAGAAACTGAGGAAGACACAAAGAAATGGAAAAACATTCCATGCTCATGGATTGGAAGAACAAATACTGCGAAAATGTCTGTGCTACCCAGAGCAATCTACACACTTAATGCAATCCCTATCAAAATACCATCAACTTTTTTCAAAGAAATGGAACAAAGAATCTTAAAATTTATATGGAAACAGAAAAGTCCCCCAATAGCCAGAGAAATGTTGAAAAAGAAAACCATAGCTGGTGGCATCACAATTCCAGACTTCAAGCTCTATTACAAAGCTGTCATCATCAAGACAGTATGACACTGGCACAAAAACACACACAGAGATCAATGGAACAGAACAGAGAGCCCAGAAATGGGCCCTCAACTCTATGGTCAACTAATCTTTGACAAAGTAGGGAAGACTGTCCAATGGAAAAAAGACAAGTCTCTTCAACAAATGGTGTTGGGAAAATTAACCACATGCAGAAAAATGAAACTGGACCGTTTCCTTACACCACACACAAAAACAGACTCAAAATGGATGAAAGACTTCAAGGTGAGACAGGAATCCATCAAAATCCTTAAGGAGAACACAGGCAGCAACCTCTTGGACCTCAGCCGCAGTAACTTCTTCCTAGAAACATCACCGAAGGCAAGTGAGGCAAGGGCAAAAATGAACTACTGGGACTTCATAAAGATCAAAAGCTTTTGCACAGCAAAGAAAACAGTCAACAAAACCAAAAGACAACTGACAGAATGGGAGAAGATATTTGCAAATGACATAACAGATAAAGGGCTAGTATCTAAAGTCTATAAGGAACTCCTCAAACTCAACACCCAAGGAACAAATAAATCCAATCAAGAAATGGGCAGAGGACATGAGCAGACATTTCTTCCAAGAAGACATCCAGATGGCCAATAGACATATGAAAAAGTGCTCAACATCACTCGGCATCAGGGAAATACAAATCTAAACCACAGTGAAATACCACCTCACACCAGTCAGAATGGCTAAAATTAACAAATCAAAAAATGAAAGGCGTTAGTGAGGATGCGGAGATAGGGGAACCCTCCTACACTGTTGGTGGGAATGCAAGCTAGTGCAGCCATTCTAGAAAACAGTATGAAGGTTCCTCAAAAAGTTGAAAACAGAACCACCCTATGACCACCCAATTGCAGTACTGGGTATTTACTCCAAGGATACAAATGTGATCCAAAGGAGCACATGCATCCCAATGCTTATAGTATCAATGTCCACAACAGTCAAGTTATAGAAAGAGCCTAGATGTTCATCAACACACAAATGGATAAAGAAGATGTGGTGTGTGTGCGCGCGCGCACACACACACACACACACACACACACACAATGGAATACTATGCAGCCATCAAAAAACCAAAATCTTGCCATTTGTAAGGACGTGGATGAACTAGAGGCAATTATGCTAAGCAACATAAGTCAATCAGAGAAAGACAATTATCATATGATCTCACTGATACGAGGAATTTGAGAAACAAGACAGAGGATGATACGGGAATGGAGGAAAAAATGAAACAATATGAAACCAGAGAGGGAGACAAACCATAACAGACGCTTAATGTCAAGAAACAAACTGAGGATTGCTGGAGGGGAGAGGGGTAGGAAGGATGGGGTGATTGGGTGATGGACACTGGGGAGGGTATGTGCTATGGTGAGCATTGTGTATTGTGTTAAGACTGATGAATTATAGACCTGTACCCCTGAGACAAATAGTACATTATATGTTAACTTTAAAAAAAAAAAAGGAACATATTTGTGTCACAACAGAGGAAGCCTAATAATGTTCCATGTTTTGGGGTTTTAGCCCCATTTACACAGCAATAGTTCTATGAGAAACACATGTGTTCAAACATTTTGGAAACTGTCACCATAAATATTCTAATCCTGGGTGTTCTTTTCCTCTATAAATACTATTAAGTCTCAACCAGTTTGAAGGGTCTAAAGAAATGGTTGTCAATATAACGCATTTCAAAATTTCTGTGGAGCTTCTGAAAAAGTTACTCATTTCCACTTCCGGTCAGAGGGACCTCTTGACCTTGAAATCTCAAATTTCAAAACAAACTATTTCACCAGAGATAAAGGCACTTCATAATGATTAAAAAAAAGTGGATTCATCAGAGAAACACAACAATCATAAATGTGTATGAGATTAATGTAGACTTTTAAAATACATGATATAAAAATATGACAATTAGCCATATATATACTTTCTAAATCTTAATTTCCAGAGTAGAGCTATGGCACTGTTAATTAAAAACCAAACCAAACCAAAAAACTACATGGGGATTCAAATGTGCACAACTGGTCAAGAGTAACAGTTTTTGACATATTATAATTTAAAAATCAAAACTGAGGTAAATAGTACTACTACTGTGACTGGGATTAACAAAATCCTTCCTTCTTCTGCCTGAAAATTTTACCTTTGGTTAACTTTCTTGTTCTTTTCTTCTAGAAGCCAGAGAACACAAGTATGTCAACTATGGTGCTAGGCAACATGTATTATAGAAAAAACAATTTGTAATTTGTAAGCTACATCTGAACTGAGAAGAGCTTTATGAAACTGTAAATACGTGATGAGATTAACAGCTTTAGGCCTCCCTGAGTGGGCTATGGCATGTCTTTTATAGTAAACCTGGAAGACTGCCCATGGAGCTATAACAAGAAGTACACATTCCTAAGGGACATGAGGATTATAAGCCAGGGTGGCTCCTGTGAATCTTGTTAAAGGAAACTATCACTTTTAGTACCTAAAAGAAGGTAGCTCCCAGACACTAGGTGGACTGCTTTAAGAAATGAAGAAACAAACTACCATTGTGCCAGGAAGCTTTGGTTCCTGTTCTAACAGCCTTCTGAATAGACCAGGGTGAATTGTGGCCCAAGATAGTCCTGTGAATCTAAATGTTTACTTGAACCTATGAAGACTCTTACATGGGTGTTCAAACTACCTTATCTTTGTGTTGTGGTTTAGACATCAGTGCTTCCATGCCATACACAAGATCTCTAGATTGACTTCTTAATCAAAATATTTTCCAATGATGCTTTTTGCTAATGGGGGTTGGGGAGAGGAGGAATCCATTCTAACCTCCCAGTGATCTTGTGTATCCAGAATAGTACAATATTCTTTCTGTGGTGGTAGTTTTGCCTGCATCAATATGAGCCATAATTCCAATATTACGGATTCTGTTTAAAAAGTAGGGGGAAAAAAAGCACGTATTATAAGATGGACATTAATAAAAGTGTAAAACTAAAACATGTATGCTACACAAATTTCAAAGCCGGTATTTCAGTAATTTTTATAATGGTAGAAAAACCAGAAAAAGAGAAACATAAAACACATTATTCTGACAAAATAGCTAACAAAAGAGCAAACTACAATCTTATGATCTTTTACTTATTTCTATGTGCTGTTCCTACATTAAAAACATTTAGTATTAAATTCAGGAAAAAAATAGCATTTAGATATGTACCCACACCTCTTTTAAGATACATACCAACATCTACTTATACTTAGCTAGGGCAGAAAGCTAAATTAACAATGCTAAATTAAGTCCATGACAGAACCTCTTGGCTTTTTACAGCAGGGTATGGAAAAGAATGTATCAGTGATAGTACTTACTTAGCTATGGGAGGACTGATGACGGAATGAAGCGATTTGATATCATTTCCAACTAAACCTAATGGAAAGAGGGTTACAATTTAAAAGTTTAAGAAATTTCCCTTTAATTTGCAAATCAAGAAAGTTAAAACAATTTTAAGCAAATATTGTAATTCCAATTAAAGTAAAATTCAAGCTAAATAGAACTCTGATTTACTTAAAATTTTCCTGCAATCTGTAGAGAAATGGCAACAGATGATGTAAGTTGTTTTTTTTGTTTTTTTTGTTTTTTAAGACTTTACTTATTTGTTTGACAGAGAGAGCACATGTAGGCAGAGCAGCAGGCAGAGGGAGAAGGAGGCTCCCCACTGAGAGTCCATTGCCGGACTTGATCCCAGGACTCCCTCCATGTCATGATCTCAGCTGAAGGCAGACACTCAACCAACTGAACCACCAAAGCACCCCTAAGATAAAGTTTTGAAACATCAACTTCTAGATCACAGACTTAGAAAAATAAAAATTTACCCCAATCTTTGCCACTTTCTATAATTCTGTAATAGATAGAATTGTAGAATTAGAATGTTCTAAAAATAATCTTAAAAACAAAACAATAATCTTATGGCCACAGCATTTAAATCAAAGAAAAATAAAATACACAGCCCTGTAAATGTGCATTGTCAAGGCTTGAAAAGTGAAGAGTGATCCTCGTATCAGATAATAATGAATTCTCATACAATTTGAAATCTATCTTCCCTCAGTAATTCCAAGCACAAAGTACCTTTAAAGATGGCTTAGGACGGGACGCCTGGGTGGCTCAGTTGGTTAAGCAGCTGCCTTCCGCTCAGGTCATGATCCCAGCGTCCTGGGATCGAGTCCCACATCGGGCTCCTTGCTCGGCAGGGAGCCTGCTTCTCCCTCTGCCTCTGCCTGCCATTCTGTCTGCCTGTGCTCGCTCTCCCTCTCTCTCTCTCTCTGGCAAATAAATAAATAAAATCTTTAAAAAAAAAAAAAAAAAGATGGCTTAGGAGGTATAACTGAACAGGAGCTAGAACAACCTAATACTTCTAAAAGGCCAAGTAGTACTTCTGGAGTACAAAGAGCCCATAATAATTTACTCCATGCTTACAATATATTTTATTAATAATATTAAAGCAAAAATGCAGTTACATTTATAATTTTAACCTCTACCTTCCTATTATTTAAATCAGCTTTGCAATATTTCTCTAATAAATCAAGAACAGTTCTACTGTATTTTGAAAACCTGATGGCAGTTTTAAGACTTACAGATCATCTGTATTGCTACAGATAAATTTGCCTGACAATATATAGAAATACAGTTACAAATCAATAATGCAGGGCATTAAATTCACACACCATTACAAGTCACATATCCTACCAGTATTTTTACTCCATAATTCTCACAGGACAAAGATGGTAATGAAAACAGCCACATAATGAAACTAGTTTCAAAGAGTCTCCCATATGCTTGCTTGCTTCAAACACAGGAAGAACATTCAGAATTTGTCAGTTCTTCAAGCATCGGGTTTTTGTTTTTGTTTTTTTAAAATATTTTATTTATTTATTGGTAGAGAGAGAAAGAGATAGCACAAGCAAGGGGAGCAACAGGCAGAAGGAGAGGGAGAAGCAGGGTCTCTGCTGAGCAAGAAGCCTGATGCCAGGCCTCAATCCCAGTACCATAACCAGAGCTGAAGGCAGATGCTCAACTAACTGAGCCACCCAGGCGCTCCAAGCATCAAGCTTTTAATAGCCATTTTACCTAATGCAAATTACCCCAGATAAATATTTAACCAACTAATCTTAAGAATCTCCAAAATAAATTAGTTGGGCAAACCTCCATTGACAGAAAATACTTCTGTGTAAAAATCAGAAACGTACTAGAAAAACAGTATTTTATAGCAAGAGCACTCTACAGGTACACACCTCTTAACTTCTAAGCTAGCTACTAAAGCCAGCAACCTTTCTCTTTGTTTAGCTCATTTGGAGAGCCAGCAGATGAGGAATACAGGCTTACTGATACTCCCTCCTGGCTTCTATCACAATACTTCCAACTCCTAATCATCTCAAGGAAAGGGCCAAGAAGTAAAACTACCCCACTACTTCCAAAATGGAGACCCTTAATAAAGGAATGTTTGCCAATGAGAGAAAGCAAACAAGCAGTTTAAGTATAATGAGAAGAATAAAAATTTGTACCTGGTAGAGAACTGTAGCTTCTTCCAAGAGGCACATATGGCTTTAATCTTTTTAAACTTGCTTTTATTTTACAGCAACACATATTCTAGTGAGAAGAAAAAGAAACCTGATATTAATTTTATTTTAGCATGACTTATTAGAATACTTTTAATATATATAATACTTTGTATTTTATATATAATACTTTGTATATTATATATATAATAATATATAATACTTTGTTAGAGAAAATACTTTGAATCTCCTTAAAATATTTTCCATTTGTTAACTCCAGTTTCTTTAAAAAGTGACAACCCAAAATTATACAATAGGAAAAAAAAAAATAAAACTATTTTGAGCTGATCTTAGAAAATGGTTCTCTAAGATCTGCAGCATTAGCAACAGAGGGAACACAAATTCTCAGGACCTATTCCAGACAAGAGAATCAGAAACTCAGAGGAGAGATAAACAAACTATGGGAGGGGGAGGTTTAAACTGAAGTATAATTAATATAGTGTTATATGAGTTTCAACAAGCACTCCAGGTGATTCTAAAGATTTATTTATTTGAGAGACAGCCACTCTTGAGTGGAGATGGGGGATGAAGGGGAGAGGGAGAGTCCAAAGCAGACAGCACTGAGTGCAGAGCCTGATGTAGACCTCGATCTCACAACCCTGAGATCAGGACTTGAGCTGAAACCTAGAGTCCAGTGCTCAACCAACTAAGCCACCCAGGTGCCCCAACCTCCAGGTGACTCTGACAGCTATAGTTTGAAACTCAGGACCTGAAATTCCCAGAAAGCCAGAAAAGTTAAATAAGGTCTCTCACACTGGCTATTCCTTGATTTTCTACAGGTGCTAAGAACTGGTAGGGGTCATGAAACTCAGAATTAAAGTGGCTACACATTAGAATCACCTGGAAAATTTTAAAAACATCTGAGGGGAAGTTGGGAGAACTAGGACTGGTATTCTTAAAAATTCCTGAGGTATCTTCTCCCAGTGTTTCCACTAAGAGGTTGAATATTCCCCATCCCCAGACCACTAGATACACATTATTGACTGCCAATACATTTAGAATTGTGACATTTAGTGTATTTAGTAATAACTCTGGGCTGCCACATCTGCCTTTTATGGTATCTTGGAACATATGCCTGTGTATTCTATATTCCCTATGCATTACTTACCCAGTTTTTGGCAATACAATACTATGATTCTAATAAAATATTTCAAGAGTAGAGTCTCAAAACTATTTAAATTTCCACTGCATAATGACGAGGGAAAGACAGTGCTACCTGCCACAGGTGTGCAGTCTGAAAGCATCAGCAATGAAAAGACCAAAGAAAACCTGTGTAACTCCTTGGGGTGCTAAGGACCTCAAAATGGAATATACAAATGGATAGTCTTCAAAACACTGCACAGGGAATTTTGAAGTAGCAAAATGCATTTCAGACTAGGGATAAAGCCTTCTGCTTCTTGGTTACAGTTTCTCCCACACTCTCTGTTAAGAAAAACTGATGAAGATAAAGATATAATAGTTTAAGAGTATACGAGGCCTTTCAGGAAATAAAGTTGCTGAAGTATATTTAATTTTACAAGAAAAGCTTACACTAACGTGCAGGATGGATATCTTCTTATGATTTACTCCAAACTTCCTCAAGTTGGAGAACATGTTGACCCTCTAAACTGTTATTCTCTGAAAAGGAAAAATACAAAATTTTAAAACTAAGTTTATGTAGTATGTATCAGCAAGACATATTTAAAGTAAGGCATTTGTAATACATATCATAAAAATGTATTACATTTTAGAAGTACAGTATTTTCAGCTATCAAAAAACTCAACATATCAATCAGAAAGTGAAAATTCTGACAAAATGAGAAACATGGTTCTCAAGCTAAAATGTTCTTTATTTTTTCAACATGTTTTAATTCTTAAAGATATGGACATATTGTGGGAAAAGATTAAGATTACAAAAATATATCACAGCAATTACAATGTTATTTATGTAATTATACAGAATTTAGTACAGAAAGGTAAGCAACTACATGTTAACTTGGTAATTTCTCATTGATAGTGTAATTTAGTGGTTTATCTGTATATTGATTTTTCTACCATAAATATGTAAAAAAAATACACAAAAGCAAGTCCTCTTTTATGATTATAAAAATTAAGTAATTTTGGTTTAAAAACATTTACTGAATATGAACCATGTTCCAAGTGCACTATTAAAGCTAAGAGAAGTTCATGGAAGCATCTGAGACTAGGTAGAGAGCAGAGAGCAAGGGAACATTGTGTGCCATTTTATATAAGAAGCCATGTCAAAACTCATTATTTTAGGGAATCTGGCTGGCTCAGTCAACGGAATGTGCAACTCTTGATCTCAGAGTTGTAAGTTTGAGCTCCACACCGGGTGAAGAGATTATTTAAAAAATAAGATCTTTTAAAAAAAATCCATTATTTTTCCTCCTAAATCTGTGTTTTAAAACAGCCACATTCACTAACCCTCATTTATTTTTTAATTTTCTTTTTTTAGAGACAGCACAGGGGCACGGGTGGGGGTGCGTGATGGTAGGAGAGGGGGAGGCAGAATCTTACGCAGGCTCCACACTCAGTGAGGAGCCTGATGTGGGGGGGGGATCTCATAACCCTGAGATCATGACCTGAGCGGAAATCAAGAGCAGACTGATTTACTGACAAACCACTCAGGCACACCTCACTAACCCTCATTTAGCAAGTCACCAAATCCTTGTGATTTTATTTCCTAAATTTATCTTGAATCCATTCCCTCTTTTTCACTTCCAGTGTCAAAGTTCAGGAAGTTTACAATATCGTGCATGTTAGATCCACTCTAAAATAGAACAAAATATTTTAACCAACGAAATACAAAAAAACCCAATAGGTTTTGATTCCACATTGCAACTAAGAAACTACCACTTGTCACCCTGGTAGAGCATCTAAGATCATCCACAATTTTCTGTAAAGACTATTAAAATACTCAATACCTTTCCCAACTACCTATATGACCTATGTGTATGAGGCTGGATTTTCTTCAGAGAGTTCAACCAAAAATAAAGATCATACATACATAGTAACAAATACAGAAGGTGATAGCAGATGCCAGCTGTTTTCTTTATGCCCAACATTAAAGACACTTGCAAAATTCTAAGGCAAGGTAAAATATTCTTCAAACTAAATTACTTTTGTAAAATAAAAGGTATTTCTCATAACACTATATTACATACATTAAGATTCAGTGGATTTAAGTGAATTATTAAAGTATTTTAGTTTTTATTTCTAATAATTGAGTATGTATTATAACCTACATAAAAAAAAAAACCTCTTTGGAGTTCTAAATCATTTTTAAGAGTGTGAAGGGATGCTATAGACTAAATTTTGAAAACATATTCCAACATCCTGTTTCCCCAAGTGAATGACCACGATTATTTTAAGTTACAGAAAGAAAAAAAAAAAAGTTTACTAAATAAATATCAGAAAAACTAACACATCTTGTATATACTAATACTTAAGAAGTCAAATTTTACATTAAAATGTGAATTTGAGGAAAATTAAGTAAATAACATAGGTGACATTCAGATATGACCAGTCTTAAAAAGTAGTACTCAAATCACTCAAGTGGGATATACTGCTTTAATCCATTATTTACATATATCCTTCAAATAAAGAACCTCCTCTCAACACTTACCTACTCAAAAACATTTAAAGGTTCTTAATAAAACAAAATCTGTCCCCAACTATAGTCACAGCCTGTACTCTCCCATTCCCCCCTCTATACCAGGGAGCTCTAGCCAAAATTCCCCAGAAACATCATAGTCTGGCACCTTCACACTTTCATATGTAATGTTGCCACTGCCTGAAAGCAATCCTAGAATCCCCAAGACTCCATTCTTGGTCAATTTCCACTCATCTTCATGCCCCACCTTGAAAGCTTTTCCTGATTTCCAAGAAAGTTTTAATACTATCTTCCCCACGTTTCCATAACATTTGGAACTTGTATTTACTCATGACAAATATGGTATTTACAAGCTCTCTCCATTACTGTGAGCTCTCCAAAAGGAGGGATCTTCTACCAGCACTGCCCGGCACAATGGTGAGTCATTTTTTGACCTATTAAGTTGATTAGGATTCTCCAGGGATAGAGGATTTTCTTCTTTCCCATGGATCAATGACTTTCAACAAAAATAGTTGCCTACTATAGGTGCTATAGGCGAGTTATTCTACAAGGCCCGAACCTCCCTAAGGCCTTGGAGAATAAAGTTTTCACTAAATGTTTTAACACCTAATAATACAAAAGCAATAATGGGGAAGAAAAACAGGTAACATTCTACATTACTGGCAACAAGTTACATTACCAATAAACAAAAAGAAACCATGATTATTTTTTTTGTGAATCAGTAGAGTACCATGTTTGTAAGGCCTAATATACAAAAAGAGAAATCATGGGGGTGCCTGGGTGGCTCAGTCTGTCAAGCATCTGCCTTTGGCTCAGGTCATGATCTCGGGGGTCCTGGAATAAAACCCTTCACGGGGCTCCCTGCTCAGCAGGGAGCCTGCTTCTCTCTCTTCCTCTGCTCCTCCTCCTGCCCCTGCTCTCGCTCACTCTCTGTCTTTCAAATAAATAAAATCTTTAAAAAGAGAGAGAGAAATCATGGACCACTAAACAAAAATCACGGGAGGCCTGGGTAGATCAGTCGGTTAGGCTTCTACTTTCATGATCCCAGGGTTCTGGGATCTACCCCCATGTGGGCTCTCTGCTCAGAGGGGAGCCTACTTCTCCCTCTGCCTGCCACTCCCCCTGCTTGTTCTCTCATTCTTTGTCAAATAAATAAAATCTTTAAAAAAAATCATAAAATACATCAGTATGCAAGCAAAATTGAAGGTGATGTTGCTGAGAATCAAGTAATATATGAAAGGAGATCCTAAAGCATCAAGTTGTTCTGTGTTTGCAGATGGTTTTTGTTACAGTTAGTAATTTCTCCCAAATTAGAACTCCTTTTCACATTTTTGTCAAATCCAGTGTTTTTCAGGAAAATATCACATATAAATTAGGCCAATATGTTTATTACTGTCGAATCTTAAAATCATCTTTGATTTTTTCCTATGTTCAACAGATCTCATGTTATCAATCTAAACACTTGTTTTTACTATTTCTAGCACAAGTTCTAAAACAAACCATTTGAAGTTATATAAATTTTATCTCAATTTAAAAAATCAGTTTCACCTGCTTTTTAAAAGTTTCACCTGATTTTTTAAACCAGAAAAAAGTTTACCAAATTAACTTTTACTTGCTAAAAAAACAGCCTAAGTAGATAAAGATACTTTTAAATTTAGGTCAACTGTACCGATAAAGTACAATTCCCTTGTTCATTTAACATTTATTGGAGCAACAGCTGGTTATTAGGAATATAAAAATGAGTAGCACATGATCTCCAATCTGGAGAAAAATGTTAGCTTTAAAAATTCTAGCCTGGGGGCACCTGGGTGGCTCAATGGGTTAAGCCTCTGCCTTCCGCTCGGGTCACGATCTTGGGGTCCTCAGATTGAGCCCTGCATCCGGGGAGCCTGCTTCCCCCTCTCTCTCTCTGCCTGCCTCTCTGCCTACTTGTGATCTCTGTCTGTCAAATAAATAAATAAAAATCTTAAAAAAAAAAAAATTCTAGCCTGTCTCCTGCATATTACAATAGCAAACATTTCAATCATAATACTTTTTACAAAGCTCTTACTGTACCTGTTCCTCTTCTTCAGTGTAAATAAGCTTGACTTTTTAACCATACACAATCAACTTTTATTTTTTTATTTTTAAGATTTTATTTCTTTTATTTGACAGACAGAGATCACAAGTAGGCAGAGAGGCAGGCAGAGAGAGAGAGGAGGAAGCAGGCTCCCCGCTGAGCAGAGAGTCTGATGCGGGGCTCGATCCCAGGACCCTGGGATCATGACCTGAGCCAAAGGCAGAGGCTTTAACCCACTGAGCCACCCAGGTGCCCCCACAATCAACTTTTAAAGCAGCTCTCACATCCTCCTGACTTTTCACTTATAGTTTCTCCTATAGCAATAAATACTATCTAAATTTTCATCCAATCAGAGAAATGCATTTTCATGCTCCTGACTGCCAAAATGCAAAAAGTGGGTATCTACTATAACCTTTTGGTAGATAAAACAAGGAAGTGATGATATCCAACTTGGCTACTGCCAGGTAAAAAGGAAGTAAATTTTTCTCAGAAAGTTTTGCTGACATTGATCTGCTTAGGCAATTTTTAGCCTGCAATCACAGCTGAAAGTGAGAACAAATGATAAACAGCCAACCACTTGTCTCCTCTATTTTACACAAATCAAAATGTGACCACTTTAAGAACTTACTTTCTATTCCCGGTCCAGAAGGCAAAAAAGGCATGAGTGGCTTTGAGAATCACAAATTTAAAAAAACAAAAACAAAAAACCAACATTGATGAGTTCACAACTTAAGCCTACGAAAAATTTCCATAAGCTGAAAGAACTACAACAGGAAACAATAAGGATAAATCTCACAATGTTAAGGAAAAGAAACCAACACAAAAGAGTTCATACTGTATGATTCCAATTATTTAGTTTAAAATGGGTAAAACTAATCCATTTTGTTACAAGTCAGGATGGTATTTACACTTGGGAGTGACTGGAAAGAGGCCTAAGGAAGGCTTCTGGGGTGCAGGTTTATATAATTTCTTGATTCACATGCTGCTTACAGGGTGTCAGAGTTTGAAAACCCCCTGAAGCATCTATCTTATATGTGCATTGTTTGCGTGTATCTTACACTTCAGTAAAAAGTCTTTTTAAAACTTTTTTTTAAAGATTTTATTTAACACACACACACACAGAGAGAGAGAGAGAGAGAGAGAGAGAGAGATCACAAGTAGGCAGAGAGGCAGGCAGAGAGAAAGGAGGAAGCAGGCTCCCCGCTGAGCAGACAGTCAGATGCAGGACCCTGAGATAATGACCTGAGCTGAAGGCAGAGGCTTTAACCCACTGAGCCACCAAGGCGCCCCTTTTTAAAACTTTCCATAAACTTTTCAATATAATAGAAATGTCAAGTGGGCAAAGACCTGAGTAGTTTACAGAAGACTTGCTGTAGTCCCAAGTCTTCTGCGATCTTGGATAAATAACTTAAAATCTCTGAACCTTCCTTTCCATCTATCACATTGCCGGACCAGTATGAGAATTAAGTTCATTTACTCAACAAGAATTTATTGTTATTTTGTCTACCACTGCCTCCTAGTAAATGGTTCAAAAATAGTGAGCAAAAGACATCCTTGTACTCACACTGTCTTTATCCTAGTCACTAGACAATAAAAAGGAATAAAATACCATCTCCTACGGTGACACGTGCTGTAGAAAAGAATTATACAGGAACCGGGAACTGGTTCGTAACCATAAGCCAAGTCACTTAAGCAAGTGAGATTTAAATGACATTTAAGCAAAAACGTCAAGAAGGTGTAGGAAGCAAACCCTGGTGGAAGCGTGTTGTAGGAAAAGAGATTACATAATTTATTGCACCTGAAAACGCTGGTTAGAAATAGAGTTTTAAAGAAAATACCACATTAGAAAATGGAGCCTTGAAAACCCTCAAAACCAAACCCACCTTACTGCCTCAACTCTACGAACTAAGACTTAGGAAGATGATTAAGGCCTTCGGGAGACCGTCTCGTCCTTCTCTGTAGCTGGCTGTTGCCTCCCTAGACCCGGCACGGTGCCCAACGCGCCGCAGGGTAACAGGCACGCGGGGGTCGGACAGCGCAGTCAGATACCCACCTAGAACTAGGACGCATACTGGAGGCCGGCTTTTTCCCGCTGGGTGTTCAGAGCCGCAGGTGCAGGCTGTGCCAAAGTCCGCAAAGGCCTCGCGTCACTATCTCGGTGAACGTCCTAATCCCTCCAGAAGAGAACTTAATACCCTTCACACCCACCTCCTCCAGCAGCCGCACTCCCCCAGTTCCGGCGGTGCAACACTCAAATGCCGCCTGCGAGCAACTTCCGCCCTTCCAGCTAAACGTGAAGAACAGAGGTCCGGAACCAATGTGTCGCGCTTTCTCCGGAGTCCGTGGTTTTACGACTCTTTTCCGTCGCGGCTTGCGTGGAGTTAGCTCGTGGGTCTGGGAGATCCGAAAACAGATCTTCTTTGCGTCCCGACAGCTGCACCCCACGGCTCTGCAGCCGTCACCATGGTGAGGAGGTAGTTCGGGGGCACTCGTATCGTAGGGCTTCAGAGTTGGTGGGGCCTGGAGGCCCCGGGGTGGGAGGCGAGGGCTGGTAGGCGGAAGGGAGGTACTGCCGAAGGGAATGAGGGTGAGGGGGAAAAAATGCATCTGGTGGACACAGATTGGGGTATTTGCCAGAGTACACGCTTTAGAGCGAGATCGGTTTCACTCTGTTATTCCTGGCTTAGCCACGTTTGTGTATTGTCAGTGCCAGACCCCAGCGATAACCCTATACTGTAGGCGAAATTCAGCTGCCACTTAGTTTTATTGCTGAGGAAATTTAAGACCGGGCCGGCCACGGGCCAAGCAGCTAATGAATTAATTAATGAATTAATCTCGGCTTAAAGCACAGATCTGACTGCCACGTCCGTTCTCTTTCTACTATGTCTCTCATTTGTATCTCTGCGGAATGGCATTCCACATGCTTTCCTCATGATTTCTGCAAAGTTTATTGTGCTAGCAGTTGAAAACACCACACCAGATACATAGTAGCTGGTTGTTATTTGGAGTTATCTGTGCTAGAGTTGAGGTTGCATCATTGTTTTAGTTTGCAGTCTTAAAATACAAATGGACTGTGGCCACATGTTTAAGATAAAACAAAAGTGGCCTATAAAATAAAAATGGGCACTGAAAAAGCAAAAAGGGATCTCATACATTGCTGGTGCAATGCAAAATAGTACAGCCCCTTGTGAAAACAGTTTGGCATGTGGCCACACAAAAGACTTCTGTGCCAGGGTTTATTTGCTAAAAACGGGAAACACCCCAGATATCCATGAACCAATCAAAGGATGAATGAGGGTATATCCATACATGGAATACTACTTGGCAATAACAAGGATTGACGTACTGACACATGTAACAACTTGGACAAATCTCAAAAGCCCTAAATGAAAGAAGCTAGATGGCAAAAGGCTACATACTGTAGGTACGATAAGCTTCTTCACAATGATAAAGGGAAAACCAGAGTGAGAGATAACAGATTGGAGGTGGAAAAAGGAGGATTATCTTCAAAGCAATGCAAGGGAATTTTCTGAGGTGATGGAAATAGTCTCTATTTTTATTGCGGTGGTTACAAAACTCTGTAGTTGGTATTTTTTTAAATAAAAAGTATGAAGAATAATGATGTTATTGAAAAACCAGATTAGTCATGCTCAGGAAAAGAGATCCTGTAATGATGTCATCCTTTTTGTGGTCCAGTGGATTTTGGACAGTTCCCTTCAACGAACACTAACTTTCACTGAGATTATTACAGATGTAAATCCTGATGCCTCATACCATTCAGGATCAAAATGTATTTAACTCATATAATGTAAATAGGCTTAATAGCGCAAGAGTTACTTAAGCAAGTGAACATTTGGATGACATAAGGCCTTCTGTACTTTACTTGGTATTCAGAAAGTTTTTTAGCATAATTCTGTCAACATTCTTTAAAATTAATGTTTCTTACATTACAGCCACAAAATGAATATATTGAGTTACACCGGAAGCGCTATGGCTATCGTTTGGATTACCATGAGAAAAAGAGAAAGAAAGAAGGTCGAGAGGCTCATGAACGTTCAAAGAAGGCAAAAAAGATGATTGGTCTGAAAGCTAAGCTCTACCATAAACAGCGCCATGCTGAGAAAATACAGATGAAAAAGACGTAAGTGATGAGTTCTTCATTGTAACCAGTTAACATCTTTTGAGTAATAATTTTTAAAAACTGAAATCTTGAATCTTCTTCCTTCTCGGTAGTATCAAGATGCATGAAAAGAGAAACACCAAACAAAAGAATGATGAAAAGACTCCACAAGGAGCAGTACCTGCATATCTACTGGACAGGGAGGGACAGTCTCGAGCTAAAGTACTTTCTAATATGATTAAACAAAAACGAAAAGAGAAAGCGGTAAGAAATAAAAATTGAAATCTTCATTTTTGTTTAGGAGAATTACTTAATATTAGTCTTTTTCTTCAGAGTAATTGGAAATATGGTGTCCAGCTACTATTCCCATTATTTAGATATCAAAGCCTTTGTAAAGTTCATTTTGTATTAAATATTTAAGTAATAAAAGATTTATTTTCTCATCATGAGAACATTCGCATTTAACAGGTTTTTAAAAAGTTACTAGAATACCACACATCTTTAGTGTAAAAAAAGTATCTAAAAAGTTAGTAGGGCATGAATCTCAAATTCAGTATTTTAACAGCTTTCTGTACTTGACACCTCCTAATGCTGTGCTCTTGTGGAAAAAGATACAGCTACTTGTTTTTGCTGCCCTATATTGCTAAAATTAGTTAAAAAGTAGAATGGTGGGAAAACCCTCTAACTGATTTGACTTAAACAAAAATTTAACATTTTTTTAATATTACTAGATTACACTTGGTATCAAATTAGGTTAAAGCCTGCTAAAAACAGATAAAGGTATATATACTACTTTTAAACATCTGTGGATAAATTGACAGAAATCCAGATAGCATCAGAAATTGTTCACTGTCCAATTTTGATTTAAAAAAAAACACAACTGTAGGGCGCCTGGGTGGCTCAGTGAGTTAAAAACACACAACTGTTTGAGGCACCTAGGTGGCTCAGTCAGTTAAGTGTCTGCCTTAGGCTCAGGTCATGTCCCAGAGTCCCTGGCTTAAGCCCCACATCGGGCTCCCTGCTTAGTGGGGAATCTGCTTCTCTCTTCCCCACTCACTCTGTCTCAAATAAATAAAATCTTTAACAAAAAAAGCCAGGCTGCTTGTATTTTGGTGTATGCTATCTAAAATTAGAATGGTGTAACTTGAGCACCCAAAGAAACTTTAGAGGTTATCTGCTTAACCCCTTCTTGTTTTACAGATAAAAGACTTAAGTCCAGGAGGTTGTAAATCATTCTTCATAGTCATTATCTGTAGAGTGGTAGAATTGCTTCTAAAATCTGTCTTAATAAAATCATTCTTTTTTCTACCTTGTACTGCTTCAGTTTTTCATAGAATTTTCATTCTGCAGAAGTTAAAATATGTGACAATGATTTTGTCCTTCTAGTAATGAAATCTAAAAGTCCACTCGAGATAAATTAAGAGGTGGAGACAGCCTTCCACTTTTATACTATTCACTATTTAGTAGTAAGCACATACACTGTTTTGAGAAATCACTGCCTTACTACAGGTGGCATTTTTCATTCATAAAAAGGCATTGAGATTTTTAGCATAAGCAAACAATTTATTTATGTATTTTAGAGTTTCTTTATCCCACAAGCAAGGGGAAGGGCAGACGGAGAGGGAGAAGCAGGCTCCCGGCTGAGCAGGGAGCCTGATGTGGGGCTCAATCCCAGGACCCTGGGATCATGACCTGAGCCACCCAGGCACCCCACAAACCATTTTATTTAATGTGTCCGTGATAAGAAACTTAATTAGTTCCAATTAATTTGGGGTTTTTGAGGAGACAGTGCAGACTTCTAGAAAACATTGGAGCCAAAATCTTGTTGGTTTAGGAAAAAAGTGAATACACTACTTTGTACAGCTAAAACATATTTAAATTTTTATTCTCATTGCTTTTTACTAACATGATAAATTTTAACTATGGTCTATTTTTAGGGAAAATGGGAAGTTCCTTTACCCAAAGTTCGTGCCCAGGGAGAAACAGAAGTATTAAAAGTTATTCGAACAGGAAAAAGAAAGAAGAAAGCATGGAAGAGAATGGTCACTAAAGTCTGCTTTGTTGGAGATGGCTTTACTCGAAAACCACCTAAATATGAAAGATTCATTAGGCCAATGGTAAGTCCATTGCAAGAGTGGAATGGATTAAATATTAGTTGCTGTGTTAAATAGAATAAAGTATAATTACCTGAAATTCCTAAAATTGGTGTGAAAAGAGATTGAAAAACCTTTTTAGGCTTTTTTTTTTTAAGTTATTGATAAGGATACTATCTTAAGTTATTGATAAGGATTCTACTACTATCAAGAATCTTGTCTTTGGCTTCATGAGAGACAGGAAATGAAAACTAATTCTTACTGCAGTGTCAGTGAGTCCTGATTTTTATATATATGTCATATTAGAACCTTTGTTTTCCACATGAAGTCACCTTACTCATTCAGCAAGTAATCTATTGACACTTGTTCTCTTTGAAAACAGTTAGAAAACTTGAGTAGGACTGTTTTTTTCAAGAAGCAATTCACATTTAGTAAGAAAATTACCTTAATGCTTTTGAAAACATTATGTTGTCACTGAAAAAAGAATGTAATGTAAAAGTAGAACTTTAATTTCTATAGATTACCATGACAGTCAAAACCATTCTCCTCCCCTTTCCCAAATGTAACTGAACATTTGGTTGACCATTCATCAACTCAAGTTGGGGGTGTTCACCCCCTGCACAGCCCAAAATCCACACAGAACTTCTGATTCCCCCAAAACTAAACTAATAGCTTACTAATGCCTGGAAGCCCTACTGATAATATAAACAGTTAATAAATAGGTATTTTGTATGTTATGTGTATTATAATTCTTAAAATGAGAGAAAAGAAAATGTTAAGGAAATCCTAAAGGAAAATAATTTTGTACTACTGTACTGTATTAAAAAAATCTGCCTCTAAGTGGACCTGTGCAGTTCAAACCTGTGTTCAAGGGTCAGCTATGTATTTTTTGCAGAATCCCTTTAAAACACACTGAATTGCTCTCTTCACTGGAAATCCATTCTGCTT